ATATTTGATCCTTGGCAATCTAGAGCATTGTTATTTGGTAATATTTGTTTAAGTGAGGCCTCTGCTAAATTTTTTTATGCCAGTCGGTAGAAGAAATATTGGTGTAAATAACTCATTTAGAGCATTTTGTTTTATTTATTTAATATAAGTGTTTAAATAAGGGAATTGGGAAAGACCTGCCTTTTTGGATATGTAATTATAGGTACGTAATTATATGTATGTAATTGTTTTAGGGAGAGGTAATGAAAGGTAGAGATGGTCTCTTTTAATGAGGAAAGATTTTCTGGAACTTAGCTTTAGCAACAGTAATTATTTAACATTTTAACATGGGACCTGAAAAAGGGAAACCCCAGTGAAATCTATTACTATGTAGATGGCTCAATAGTTTTTCTAGTAGTAAAATACAACCCTGATGGATTTAAACTGCCAATAGAGCTTTTGCAATTGAGTGGCGAAATAATAGTAATAGTACTAATGATCAGAAACAACAGCAAAGGAACAGGTATCATTCATCACAGGCAAATGGAGGTTAACGCAGATAATAATAACATAACATGCCTCATACCCAGGAGATAATGAAAGCCAACTCCTGGCAATGACTCAGGAAAGGGACCTAGTGCTGTAGTGACCAGATGACCCAATGACAAGCTATCCAAACAGGAACCATTTTAGAAACACAGATCTTTTCCATGAACACATCTTTCAGTTGTTGTTGAAGATAGTTGCAAGTTCTGTATGTTGACGAAGCCTCTATGGAGTTAAAATGGACAGAGCTGATGAAAATAAAGCTTAAACGTTCCAAACTCTCTGACACTGACACATGACCAGGTTTCACAGTTGATAACTGGAAAGTGGCTGACAGAGATTCTAATCGATCGTAATCTTTGCAGCAAATGGATTCAGTATTTATTTAGATACAATATTCTTTAAAAAAAAAACTTTCACATCAGTTCTATGAAGTATTTAACATTATTTTCCCCATTTTATACATAAGAAAAATGAGTTACAGAAATGTAGAAGGAAGGAAGGAAGGAAGGAAGGAAGGAAGGAAGGAAGGAAGGAAGGAAGGAAGGAAGGAAGGGAGGGAGGGAGGGAGGGAGGGAGGGAGGGAGGGAGGAAAGAAAAGAAAAGAAAAGAGAAAAGAAAAGAAGAGAGAGAGAAAGAGAAAGAGAGGAAGGAAGGAAGGAAGGAAGGAAGGAAGGAAGGAAGGAAGGAAGGAAGGAAGGAAGGAAATGCGCCTAGTATCTTGTAGCTAGTAAGTAAGGGAGCCAGACTTCAAACCCAGGAAGCTGGTACCCTTAACAATTAAGTGCCCCCAAAGTATGTGATAAAGCCTATGGAAATATGATCCTATAGAAACTACCTAAAGAGAAGTCATATTCTAGACTATTAGAACCAGGTACTATCCTATAAACCTTATAAGAACCATGATTAGGGGACAATAAACAACCCTGATTCAGAGAGTAGAAATATGTTTCATAAAAACCATTACCCAAAGATATATAAAAGGTAAAACTTAAAAATACTTGATTACCATTTACAACTTGAAAAAGAAACCCAGAATTTTCTGTAGCCACTGTTCAATGTGTTCTTATAGTCTTAAGGCAGAATAAAAATCTGGAAATTATCAGGGAAGGTTTTAAGAACAAAATAAGCAAGTTGGTCTTTTTTAAAATAGAAATCTGATGTTAACAGAAGCATTATGATATTAAGGGAAAACTGGTAATGGGACTAAGGAAGGGAGTGAAAACATGCTCCTCACCTATGAATCAGACATCCAAGAGGACAAATTCAATCTCATGCCATATTGGGTCACTGATGCCCCATCATGCATGGACTGTAGGACTTAAAAATAAATCTGGACACAAAAGTTCTTATGTATGGGCCAATTCTGCTTATTTGGACACAGTGCAAATAGATATAACAAGATAGTTTTTTCCTCAAGGATGATACTTAGCAGATAAAGCCTGATTTCTAATTCAGTATTGGTACAACTGCACTTAGTGGTTTAGCTGCTACTTAGGTTTAAATCCCAGGTGTGTGACCTGCCACAAGCCACTAAACCATTCTGAATATCAGTTCCTTCACTGGTAAAATAGGGAAAAAATTAGTTGCCTCATAGAGTTGTAGTGAAGATTAAATGAATGATCTATATAAAATGGAAGTGCTTGATAAACTTTAGCCTATTATTAACACCAAATACTAAAAAAAAAAAAAAAAAAAAAAAAAAAAAGTCCTCTGCTTGGATAACATTCCTTGGTTAAAACAAAAAGACTATATTTGAGTAGGAAGAAGCTTCTGACTGTTAAGGGTGATGTGTATGTACATTATCTTGACAATGGTGATGGTCACATAGGCATATGCGTATATCAGCACTGACAAATTGTATACTGGGAATATGTACAGTTTATTTTATGTCAGTTGACTCAATAAAGTTGTTTGTTAAAAACAAACAAACAAAAAAACTTACCTGTGAGTGTTATGTGTGTGTCTGTGAATGTAGTTGCTAGGAAAATTTCTTACCTAACAGAGGCACACAAAGCTGCCATCCCTCCTCACAAGAAACCGGAACCACTTTCTCTACAGCAAGAAATGTAAAGTGCTTCTAGGTTTACCTCTTGTGAGAAATTTGTACCACTGACAGTGATGAACTCATACGTTAGCATGACTATCCCATTTTAATAGCGATATGTACTTGAATCTTTAAAATGGCAAGAGAGAAAATACAGAGAAGGAGGATTTTACATGTGGTATATAGTTTTGAAATCTCACAGGAAATTATGTTACTCAGATAATATTGGGATACAATGATTGCATTTAGCATTTAGGTTTTTCATCTGGACTCAGAATTTAAAGTACTTCTAACATAAATAATCAGGAATCAGAATTTACAGTACTTCTAACATAAAGGCAGTGACTATCTACAGACATTCCATGATGCGGTTTTTCTGTCGTGTGATTTTCCTGGCTTCACCCAAGTCACTGAAGTCAGAGGCTCATCGGAGCAGTCAGTGTGAAAAACCACTTGTGTTCAGTGTGGCAACGATATTTATTGAGTGCTCTCTCTATACAGAACTGTGTGCTCTGTATACGGCAGGAATGACATTTTGCTTTTTATTTCTCTTGGGCAACGGTGACCCTTCTCTCTTTGAGCCGTTTCCTCCAGTACTGATAAACAGAGTTGCTGCTAATAAAGAGTGAGCTAAAAAGGATTTGACAAAATATGACTGCCCCTTAGAGCCAAATGATTTTCAAATATTTATTTGTAGGTACCTGTTTGATTGTACTCTTTTTCCACTGTTGATTTTGGAAACAATTTTAGAATTCTCATTAATTCCTTAAAAATGTTTAACTTTACCAGGTAAGTTAAATGCAAGCAATCTAGCTGGGGTGGGAATGGGGAAAAATGGATGTTGGGGAAGCTGTGCCAGTTATCTAACAAGACAATAATGCAGCATATCAATTATAACATCTTAGTGGCATGAAACAATAAAGATTTCTTTAGCTTACATGTTTGTGTGGTGGGCTCAATTTATATCATCTGGGCTTATATATTTTTTTCTGTTGTTAACTGCAAGTTAACTCTGTACCACTACTGATCTTGGATGTACGGGTTCACGTGTCTGGGTGGTGGCTGGCATTGGATGATCTAGTACGGCTTTGGCTGGAATGTTAGGATGTTAAGGATGACACATCTTTATTCGCATCTCATCCTCCAGCAGGCTAACCTGGGCGTGTTCACATAGCCATGCAGAGGAGCAAAAGAAGCAACTCCCAAAACTTAAACCCATTTCAAGCTTCTGCTCATGTCTCATTTGCTAACATCCTACTGGCCAAAGCAATCACATGGGGTCAGATCTAGAGTCAGAGTGAGAGGGCTCCACGATATTATAGAGCAAAAGGCAAGGACACAGGGATTGGTCAAGAATTAGGGCCTTTAGTATAACTAATCTTTAGTAAAACACACTTTTCCTAACGAGTAACAGTTGTGCAGGGTGGTCATTTTGGTTTTCAGACTATAAACTGACAAATTAATATCTGGTTAATTGAAGCAGATAAACTAAGAAATTAACCTTCCCAGCCACATTGATGTATTAACCAAGTTGGTCAGACCACTTTGGCTTTCATTGTATTCATTCATTTAAAAATATATTTATGTGATAACAAGCAGCAATTTCCCAGTAAAGCAGGGATGTGAAGGAGAACATCAGTTCTCAAAGAATAATTTTGCCCTGTTGGGTTTTAAAAGATTGTCATTTTCCAATGTAATTGTTGGAAGAGGAGTTCAGACATCAGTTTTGGTCACTTTCTCTTGGGAAATACGTTTACCTGAGTCACCACCTCTAGCAATCCGGGACTCACAAGTTACAGCCATATCCTTTGGCTATATTTTTTATCATGCGGGTTCACTTAACATTCTAATAATTGTTCTCTCCGGGATTCTGATTAGATTTTACTGGAAAATTGGAGTGAAGAGGGTTGGGTGGAGCATCAGCTCCTAGCCATTTAGAAATTACAGAGGACTAATTTTTAAAAAGCTAATTTGATTGCGGTTAGCAAAATGTCTCTCTTTTGAGAAAGAAGCTCCTAATCATCTCTTTCCAAAATTGAATGCTTCAGTTTCTACAGTGCAAACATGGTTGCTTTGAGGAAGAAATATTTATCCACATATAAATACCGATTATGAACATGTTTCTGACATTACTTGAAGGGTCGGTGCGTGCCTCTTTAATTCTAAAGCAAATTTCACATTCTGCTTCAACTGATTATTTTTTCAACAATATTTGTTCTATTCTTTTATGATCTGCCAGTACTTTTTTGAAGCCCAGTTAGTTAGAACAGCGGCCAACAGAGCTGAGACTAAAAGGGGGCCAAATATCTCTTCAGAAGCAAGATGTTACTTCAAACGATATTCATTACAAAGCACTACTGTGACTCACATAATCACTTATTTTTGAAGGGGAACTTGTTAATGTAGAATTGGTTTCTTATCTTCCCAGCCCCCAGTGAGCCTTTGCTGTGCAAATTTGCTGATGGAGGACAAAAGAAGCGACAGAATCAAAGCAAATATACCCAGAATGGGAGGCCTTGGCCCAGGGAAGGAGAGGTGAGTCCTAACTGACAACATTTGTTCTGAAATTTGGCAGTAGATATCCCTCAGAAGGTGGCAAGGCAGACGTATGGTGCCATGATGAAATTGGGTCCCATAGAATACCCAGTGTCTTCAAAGGGGCAAATGAGCAGCCTCATGTTAATGTGTTCTAGATGAAATTATTGAGAAGGAGTAGAGGACTGCAAAATTAACCTCAGTTCTGCACGATAGCAAGTCTTCTGTCTTTAACCAAACTTGAACCTGAAAGGAACTCACTGAAATACTTATCTACAAAGATTTGATTTCTATCTGTATAATAGCTATAAAATGAGGGTATAATTACTTAACAAAATATTTTCAGTGACATCAGTAGGGAGAGTTGAATGTTTGTGTTTTGAAACAGGCAGGTAAAATTTGGTTGTTTTTCATCCTGCTATTGAGATGATTTACTTGCACATGTATGTATATTTATGCATATTCCCATATGTTCATAAATGTTTTGATATCTGTTATACATATATATGTACATATGTGTGTGTGTGTATATATATATATATAAAATAAGATATTGTCTATTGGTCAAAAGGGAGGAAGAAAAAATACATACAGCATTTTGCTTTTCACAACAAGAAGAAGGAAAAGTACTGAACAGCTCACTATCCATTTACCCTCAATACAAATTGGTAGATAAGCCAGCTTATGGATCCAATGCCACTTAGGAATGTGTTCTTTTTGTTACTTTTTTTTAAGAAGACAAGGAAAAGGCGCCTGAGCTTCCATGAGGTCTTTTCATTATTTGTGAAATGGAATAGAGTTGTTTGAATGACTTGAATAAATGCCATTTTGTATCAAGGCCATAATTTCAACAGAAGAGCTTTATTTAGTATTTCATTCAAAGCACCTACTTCATCCATTTGTCATTTAAGAAGCATTGTACTTGATGCAGCATTTTACACTTTGAATACTGACAGAACAGTGGTAAGAAAGAAAGGAGGCTGGAATTTTTCTCAGCAAATCCTTTAGCCTTTTTTAAGTTTCTGTTTCTAAGACCATTTTTTGTTTTGAGTGTTTCCATGCAGGTCTCAAAACTCCTCTTAAAGGTTATAGTTGTGTTCAAGTACTATGTAAACTGTAACTCATTACATTAAGACATGAAAAACAGAATCATCATTGGGCCTCAAAAACTAATAAAAAAAATACAAGAGTTTTAATATTCTCAACTTTAGAAAGGCAGTGGATATTATGTTCTCAAAAGGAGGTGGAGGGAGTGATCCATGTGTTTTCAGCATGGAGTCCAGTGCATCAGCAGATAACCCTATTGGCCACAGAAGACAACTGATGCCTGATAGTACTCATTATCACATGTCCCCTACCAAACAGCCATAATCTAGAAAGACTCATTTGACCTTTTAAAATTTGGTTGGATAAAACGCCTGCTGATTAGAGATATCTTTGGGTCACAGATTATCATCATAAATCCCCAAGACTCAATTAGCAACTTGGCATTTATGACAGAAGTTTCAGTTTCTGTCTCCTTAAGGAACTATAATATTACCTTCATACAATAGATGGCAATTGCAGCAAGACATTTCACCTCAGTGTACATTTCTTGAAAATGGAATCAATAAAGACAAAATATAGAGAGTTACAGCTGCCACCTGGCTACTGTATATAGAATCTAAGACTTTGCTTCAAAGCATGATAAATGCGATATATACTATGGTGTGGAAGCATTGTGGAGTGAAGTTTAGGACCCAGAGCACCTTATAATTTAAACATAGGTTTTACAGGTATATTCCTAATCTTTGTTTTCAAAAGTTTATTTTTAAGAGCTATAAATTTTCCTGTTGATCTATGAAAATCAAGGGACTGTAATATAATTTATCTGTGACCAGTAAAATATATTTCAAATATATATACACATTAAGAGAAAATAGATTAGGCAGAGAAATAGCATGCCCTAGAAACATGCTTATCGAATTTCTTGGTTTGGGGATGCACATATTAATTTGTACACTTTGATTGTGGTCTTAGAAGTAGATACCCGAAGAGTGTTGGATAACTGTGTCCGTCATTTTATATATTTTTTGCTTCCATTTCCCCCTTGCATTTTACTTGCTAAAGTATAGTAGCATGTTGATAAAGTATGTCATGATACACATTAATCCTATATAAGCAATATTTAATTAATTTTATATGCCAGGCAATTCTGGTTACTGTATTTGATCCTAAGACACATGCCTTTGTTGTTGTTTGCCACACTTTAAAGCTTCTGAAATTGGTTCTCTTATACTAAGTGGCATTTTACAAGATAAAATGCATTTGCTCCTGTTAGTCACTTGGGGGCACTACCTACATTCTCTGGTTAAGGTCTTTGACCACACTGGTTTCATAAATAAAAACACTAACCAAAGCCAGGATCTGGGTCAGATTCTTAAAGGAGGATTTTTTTAACCCCTTCCTTCATTCAGTGTCATGATTGAGACAAGTAACTTTCTTTGGTGTCTGTTTTTAATGGGTACTTTTGTTTTTCATTTACCATTATACTAAGGTTGGCATACCAACTTTATAAAGAGATCATTTGGGGTGTTTGTTTTTGCTTGTTTGTTTTGATATATGAAACAATGGTACACCTTTCAATCCTTGTCTTAGATAAAATGAAAGATGGTAGTTTAGATGATGCTGCTGTGGAATTGAAGATAATTGCACAGACTGAGGTTAATGTTTACTTTTCCTCTCTCCTAAAAGACAAGTAAAAATGGTCATGTGAAAGGGATTTCTGATGAAATTCTTAGGATACAAAACCAATAGATTACAAGCATTTTAGACATACCATAAGCATGCCAATTAATAGACTAATTAAATTTTTAATTTATTGTTTAAAGCTGTTTTTTCCTCATGGCATTTTGATAAAAAATTTATTAGCAATGTTTGGATAAATGCATTTCTTTATGAAAAAAAATCTAATACAGAAAACTTTATACACAGAAATTAGTATAAATTAGCAAGATTTTGAAATATAAATATATGCTAGTGACCATGTTCTGCATAAGTGAAAAACACAAGGATATTTTTAAATTATTAACGAATCTTTCAAGTGACAATTGGAACTCTGAGTAAAATGATCAAGGGATTGGGGCTATTAGGCTCTTCCTCCTTGGTGTTCTACAGTTCTTATTGTTTTATTTCCTTAAGCAGCAGTTCTCAAACTCTTGGTCTCTGGATCCCTTTACACTCTTAAAAAATTTATTACTCACAACAAAATAAATAATAACAAATTAACTCATTTTGTGCTGATAAAAATAGTATACTTTATTAAAATATACTTTTTTAAAACAGAGGCAATTTTTTGGGAAAAATGGTGCACTTTTATATTTTTACAAGTCACTTAATGTCTGACTCAGTAAAAAATGGCCAGATTTGTGCATGTACCTCAGCATTCTCTCTTTTGCTATACACTGTCTTGCTTTAAACATATAGAGAAAAATCTACCTTCATCTAGATAAGTCATTTAAAAAGGGAGAACCCTATAGATCTCCTAAGATGATCTTAGGAATTCTTGGTGTCTTTAGGCCACCCTTTGAGAACCACCGTCCTAAAGAAGCTGAAGCCAAGGGCAGGGCTGATTTTCAACTTCCATATACTAGCAGGGCCATGCAACTTGTTGGCATATTAAAATATATCTTATCATTTGGTAAGTAGACACTGTCCCTAGGCCATCAGTGCAACTCCACTTCCCCTTCCTCTCCAGTGGCTCCTCCAGGAGCATCATGATCCAGCAAGAATGGGGTTCTGGCTGGCACAGCAGGAGTTCTCCCAAATCCTACTCGTGCATTTAAATTCTGATTGGCCAGTGTTTATGACCTATTGGTGGCAAAATATGTTTAATGTCATCCCTATCTCAGAATTAATCTAACTTAATCATCACAGTGTCCCTGATGGCCCCTGGTAACATTGTGTTGGCCAGATATTCTATACATCTGAGGCTCTTTCTTACTTTAGGCAAAATACTGTCTGCATCAACCATGTTTGTGCTCTCCCAAATGATTGGTGGAGTGGTGTGGAATCAGGAATGTTTCAATTCAGTTCAAAAATATATCAGGAACTCCCGTTGCTTTTTTCTGTGTTCCCAAAGAAGACTTTTCCAATGACTACCAAAAAGTCACCAAATTGTACTTTATACCACAAATAATAACAGCTGATCCAAAAGCAAATAGCTGCAGAATTTTCGAGATGGTCAGATCAAAATTTGATTGATGGTAACTTAGTGCCCCAGTAAAGATAGTTGTAAACTAAAATAGACATTTACTGATGCATTCATTGATTCATTCACTTCTTCAACCACTACCAATATACCGTCACAACACATAAACAGACACACATGTGAACTTGTGATATGCCTGTTTTTGCAACCTTTATTGAACTATGTTGTAAAGATGATTGGATTAAATCAAAGAATGGATATGTTTACAGTATGATGAGAGACACTTAAATTTTAAAAAATGCTTTATGTTAACTTTGGTTGTGGGTAGTCTTTGGGTTTCCTTAAGAATTTTCAAATGTAGATAAATGCTAAGTTTCAAATTCCAGAATATGGTGCTGTTTCACCAAATTTTTATGCTGGTGTTTTATCCTTAAGTAGGGCAAATATCAACCAACCACTTCACACTGGCTCGAAAACTCTAATCTAGCTTTCACAAAATCTTCCCAAGCTCTATTAATTGAGTTAGTAAATGCCATTGACAGCAATTGCTTTGGGAATTGTACTTCCCAGAAATGATGTTTTGGCTATGGACACAAACAAGAGACATGGAAAGTGAACAAGAAGTAACCCAGTAAAGTACTCAGATGTCTAGTGAAAAAATGCCAATGTGTTATGATAAAAACAAAAATCAATAAAGTGACATTTCTTTCCTTTATCTTGTTTACAGTTCTCTGCTGGAGTCAGTTTAAAAGTAATGACTAATACTAAACGTTTTCTCTCCATCTGATGCTCTGAAGAGATTTTTTCCTTA